CTTGTCAATTTCTGGGGACGGAATTAATTTTACAATCTGTATAAATTTCTCAACTACTGTTTCCCAGTTTTTCCTGATTATTTGAGGCCATCTCATAACATAAATAATTCAATTTAAGTTACTATCTCAAATTGCTCAAAACCGCGGAATGACTTCAGGGCATTTATGTCATTTCTAACCTTATATCGGCTCTGGGATCCTATTCCTATTTTTCAAAAATTTTTCTAAGTCATTTGGACTCTTTTTCCTAACTCTGAGCATTGGCCGACCAGAACTTTTATTATTTACAATTAGGTCCCTACTTGGCCTAGGAATCTTTTCTTTGCAATTTGGTCCCTCCTTAGGCCTAACTTTCGGAACCATCTCTTACAAGTTTCTGGCATAACCTTTGGCTCTTAGTTGTTTCCAGTTCGTCATTCTTTAGTCCCCAAACACTATTGTTTTACACATTTGCCCTTGGAAAATCTCTTTTTCCTTCTGAGGGATCTCCGGGACTTTCATTGTATTGGCCTTAGTAATCATCCTTTTCTTGTGCTATTACTTGTATTTATGAGCCAAAATTTGGGATGTTACAATCTCTCCAACTGGGGTTATATGTATTTGAGTAGGGGTCTATCTTATGAGATTGCCCATCTCTTTCTTGGTACATCACATTCACCTCTTCAACTAGCCCAGGGCAATTCTGAGTAGTGTGCATCAGGGAATCACAAACCCCATAACTTGTAGCTATTAAAGCAAGGGACTGAGGCTTGTTAGAGCGAAGACTTTCAACGGTACTTGCAAGCTTGGACATGTCTTAGGGCCAACTTAACCAATAGTGGATCCCTATCAAATTTGTGGTCTCTTGAATCCCTTGAGCTTACATATTGTCTATTAAGAGCAAAAATCCCTATTAATTCCCAAATAGTTCGTGGTTCCATATTCTCCACAGATCCATTCGCAACGGCATCTAAGACTTGTGCCTCGTATGTCAATAGCCTATTGCAGAAATATTGTACCATTTGCTCCTTAAGAATTTGTTGATTAGGGTACTGGGTAAGCATTTCTTGGAATCTGCTCCAAAATTCAAAAAATGACTCAAAAGGCTCTTGCTTAGCTGCGGAAATTTCCTTGTGGGCAGCTGAAATCTTTGTGGAAGGAAAGTACTTATCCAAAAGTGCTTTCTTCAGACTAATTCATGATTCATATGCATTATCCATATAGAGCAGCAGATTCATGTACTACTCTTTAGTTTTGCCCTCCAAGGATAAGTGAAATACTTTCCACATAACATCATCAATACTCGCCCTTACTAGTTTCATGGACATGTGTTAGATTTAAGGTTTTGATGATAACAAATCAAGTATGTTCTGGTTTAATATGTTGATCGATCACCTGATCGATCAAAAGGTAATCAATCAAGATCAGATAAATTGTCTCTGTGTAATTAAAGGTTGGTACTAAGTTTGATTGATAAATTGATAGATAATTCAAATTTTATGTGTTGATCAATCAATTGATCTATCATTGTTAACACTGTTTGGTATAGAAGTCTGCAGAAAATTATCGATCACTTGATCGATAATTAGATGTTTAAACAACTGACAGAGAAGGAGACATAATTTTGGTAAGTGTTTATCGATCACATGATCGATAAATAAGTTATCGATAAGAAGACAGATAAATAATAAAGCTCTTCTACTTAAGTTATATTATGTTTCATTCACCATTTATTGATCACTTTATCAATCAGGGATTTATTGATAACCTGATCAAACAAGGCTTAATAACTCACTGGATTATCAATATGTTTTTGTTCAAGGTTGTCTAGTTCCTTAATCGATCATTTGATCAATTAGTGATTTATTGATCAAATAATCGATCATCACTATCTCATTGCACCTACTATTTTAAGTTACATTTTTGATCACCTGATTGATCATTTAATTATCGATGAAATGATTGATCATCCAAACTTTTGAATATTCTGTTTTCACATAACGTGATCGATCAAGCTTTTTCCCTGGATTTTTGACTTAGCTTTTCAAATAATGTTTTATTGATAACTTGATCAATCAACCTTTAATCGATCATCTGCTCGAACATTATACAATCTGTGTTTTCATCATAAAATACTTTTCTTGACTTTTATCAATAAATTTTTCTATCATTCATTTATCGATAAAGTACTCGATCATTGTTCTTTGGAATCTGTTTTTCTCTCACTTAGCTTTATCAATAACATGATCGATCAAACAGTTTTTGATCACTTGATCAATCATTGACTCATTTCAGTTAACAATAACAAGTTACAGTGATTCTCAAAATCTGTTGAATATTACTCTTCAAGCTTTTCTCAGCCTTCATGTTTATCTTAATTCTCTATTTTAAGGGATTTAAAACCATAGGTAATTTTAAACCTTTTCCTGATTAATCTTTCAAAGGTCACTCTTTTCATTTATCGATCACTTAATAGATCAATGGCTAATTCATAACTTGATCGATAAATATAGTCATCTGTTTCAAATTCTTTCACTTTGATTAATTGATAACTTGATTGATCAATCAGTTATCGATCATGACGTCGATAAAGGATTTTCAGTTTATGTTTAAAGTATCTGGTGATTAATTGATTCCCTTTCCAGCTGCCACATAAATGTTTATTATTATCGCTTGATCAATTATCTTCATGAGTTTCATTCTAAAGGAAAAATGTAACATCCCAAATTTTGGGCCTAGAAGTACCAAAATTAGCCTGAAATAGGCAGGCTACTAGGCTCTTTTTGGCAGAGATCCCAGAGATTTCCTAGAGGGACAGAGGGATTCCCAGGAACTAAATTGTAAGGAAAACATTCCTGGGCCAAGTAGGAACCTAATTGCAATTAATGAAAGTTATGGTTGACCAATGTTCAAAGTTATTGAAAATGGCTCAAATGTTTCAGAAAAATTCCAGAATATCTGAGGATATGATGAAAATGATTTTACAAGACCTCTCCTATAAGATGAGAAAGGAAATCGTAAGGCATGGGAGACTATCATGGATATAATGATAAGCCCCGAAGGATAAATCTAAGTTCACTTATGGATTCTACATGAAAAATTTTGTAGAAAAAGCATATGGGAATTATGTTAAGGAAGATGATATTAAAACCCTAAAATAAAGGTTTTAGAGTCAATTGTTTTATGGAGTGATATAATTGATATGGAATGCCATTGTTTTTGTTGTTTGATAGGTATTATTGTTTAGTAAGTAAGAGCTTAAAATTAAGGACAAGAGGCCATGTGATCAAGATGTCACATCCAGTAATATGGTATTTAGGAATAAGGATATTCCTAAATAATTAAGGGTAAAAAATGACAAGGAGAATAGAAGAATTTTGGTGGAAAATAATTATTATAGTTTTCCAAGCCAATTATGAAAAGTTTGACTAATTGAGGAAAATTGGTTAAAAATAATTATGGAAAAATATTTCCAAGCCTCAGAAAATTAAGAAAAAATAAGGAAAATGTTCCTTAAGAATTAGATGGGATTATAAAATTGGTTTTATAATCAAATTGCGCTTAGAGAAATTACAAAGGAATTTAAGGGTGATTTAAGCTAGTTTAAGGTCCTCTATTTGGAAAATTCCAAATAAATATTTTTAAGGAGAATAAAATCCCAAGAAAATTTCTATGATACCCCAATGAATTATAAGAGATTATGGAATCAAAAGAAGACCCTCAAGTATCCAAGATTTTTCCCAATTCCTTTGTAAAGTGGAAAAATCACTAAAGAGAAAGAAATCAGTTTTCCTTTTATTTAATTATTAGGAAATTAAATTTGAGACAAAGAGGGCAATTTGGAAAGATAAAAATGAGGAGAATAATTTATGGATTTGATAGAAAATAATTACAGAGGCCAGAGCACTGTAATTATAGAAAAGAAATTAAACTCGGAGTCAAAGTGCACCGATAAAGTAAGAAGCAGAGTCTTGCACTTTGCTTGGCCCGTAAGTTGCCACTTGTCAAACCTTCAATGGATGGCAATTAAAGCTTTCCAAGTGTCAAGCTACCAATGGAGAGGATCTTGACTTTGGAATTAAATTACATTATGATTTAAGTTAATTAAGAGAGAGGATTAAGATTAATTAGGCTTATGACACTTGGCAAATCATTAATGATGGTTGGTGGGATATTTTGTGCACATTAATGAGCTCTTCCTCCCCCTAAATCTGGTTAGTATTTCGACGAAGGCAAGAAGAGAGGGAAAAAGAGAGAGCTTGATGAAGAAACCAAGAGAAAGGGAGCAACTTTGATCATCCAACTAAGACTCAAGCTTGGTAAGTTATTCTAAGATGTTCCTTGCTTTGATTGCTTGAGTTGTATGGTTAAAAATCATAGTTTTCCTTCTCTTTTGATGCTGGCTGAAACGTATATATTGTAGAGGAGGAAGTTTTATGGTTCAATCTTGCTAAAACACTTCAAAGCATGATAGATCCTAGTGGTTACAAGTGGTTGTAGGTTGTTTTTGAAGTGTTTTCTTTAATTAAAGTTCATTTCGGCCAAAGTAAGATCTGAACCCTAGGATTTGTTTTTCAAAGTTTTGATGCTTCCATTGTGTTCAAAATGAAAAATAGTGTAGGGTAAACCTAAAGGACAAGTGTTGGAAGCCATAGAATCAAAGTTGCAATTTTTGGATTTTTAACCCAAAGGTTCGGTCAAGCTGAAATTGAAAGAAGGAAATTTATTTTGTTAAATCCAAATAGATATTTGGAATCTACATGAAAAATCATGTAGGAATGAGTCAAGAGAGAATTTTTAGGGTTTACGGAAACTAACTCTAAAAATTCAAGAATAAAGATGGAAGCTTTAAGGGGTTTAGGAGTTACTTGAATTATGTTATTGGTTTTTATGAGGAATGGTTGATGATCTTGCTTCCCTTTTTATGGATTTCCATGTTAGGGTTTGGAATTTATGGAAGCAAGAAAGGAGAACAAGAAAATTAAAGAGCATTGGATTAAGGTAGTAAGATTTAATTGACCTTAATGTTGAGTGTTGCATTGATTGCTATGGAATTTCATGTGCTATTATGTGGTTGAACTGAATGATGATGATTATGTAGCTATACTCCTTGCTTTATGTGCCTTGGCTATTGCATGTTAAAGTGCTAAATGTATGAGGTAAAGTAGTTCCCTATTACTAGTAAAAGGTTGGAATGCTTGTAATTGATACATATTAATGTTTTGGTTGATTAATCTTGCTACTGGGATTTCTTAAAATCTCATCCCCCAAATATAATCTAACATTTTAGAGCCTGAAACTCCCAAGAGAAAGTTGCAGATTGGAGGCTAAATTATGGCGTCACACCATAAAAATTCACGGACGTTTGGTTATGTATAAGTATTTATAGTTGGTGCTGTAATCCTTAAGCAGGACGTTAGTTTAGAGCCACATTTTATTAAGTTACAGAATGAATTTCTACACGAAATTTGGTATGCTTAGAGTTCACGTCCTGAGCTTCAAATTGATAGGCAGAACATTAAAATTTTCCAACTACACGGTTTTTAACGATTTTTCAAAGTTAAGGTTCAGGATTTGGAAAAAGGATTTTTGCCAAATGGACAGAGGTAAATTTCACAAAAACCTGACACCTTTTCAAATGAAATTGGTTCATAAGATTATTTTTTCTTGAAAAAGCATTCAAATAGCTTTTTATAGAATTTTGAACCCTCCATTTCAATTTTTCTATATTAAGTTATGAATTTTTGAAGTTGGGCCAGAAAACTGGATTTTTACCCGGTGAACAGTAAAAATCTGAAAATCAGCGTTTTTCATAAATTTTTGAGCCCAGGACCATCCCATGTGGTCTAAAATAGTTTTAATTAAACCCTAATTGGATTCGATAGTAAGTTGTGACATTTTTGGTATCAGAGCAGAGGTTCTGGCATAAGATAGAACGCTCTGCTTAGTTAATATGTCAGTTAAAAGAAAAATTAACATATTGTTACAGGAGTTGTGATAGAAAACACAATGGATTGGGACGCAAGATCTGAGAAGTCGGTCAATGATTGGGATGTTAACATGACCGATCTCACCAAAGAGGAGTTGATTCATTCAAGCCAAAAGTCAACTTGAAGTTCCAAAATTGCCCTTACCCTTTCTATTAGCCACCAAGGGCATTTTGGTCCATTCAAGCCAAATTTTTAGCTATAAATAGGCACTCCCTCCCCTCACATTTTCAGCCAAGCAAGAAACCATAGGGAAAACTTTGCCACTCTTGCATTTAGAGAGAGAAAGAGCTAGTTCTAGTGAGAGAAAGTCCACCTAAGTTCAAGCTTCAAGATCAAGGTATGTGATGGTTATAGCATCTGATTTTATGCCTATTCCAAATTAGTTACTGTGCGTATCTGATTCTAAAATTTGGCATGCTTAAAGTACACTCTGTGACCTTTAAATCTATAGGTAGAACACTTCATTTGGATATGTATACGATTTATGGTGATTTTTCAAAGTTAGGGTTTGAAATCTGGAAACAGTGTTTAACCTTTGGAAGAGTGTCGAGTTCTGTACAATTTCGGTACTGTTCCGAATAGAATTGGTTCCTGAAACTATTTTTTTTGTAATTTTAACTTAAGGAGCTTTTAGTGAGACTTGGAACCACTTTATGTGGATTTTTCTAGAATTAATTATGAATTTCCAAAGTTGAGAAAAAATTCTGGGTTTTCTGCGTGAACAGTACCCGCGAACCAAAATTTTTAGATTTGATCTTCTTGAATCTAAGGCCATCTAAAGTGGTCCTAATTGATAAGAAATGGATCTTAAGGATAGAAAATGATGAGATTTATGTTAGAAAAGCTAGAAAGAAAACCCTAAAAGGAAAAGAAAGGGTTGAGGTTCAAGAGAGCTAGTCTTGAACTTTATGTAATCTAGTCGTTCTAATAGATTGTATTATAATTATGACTATGTTTAGGACCTTTGAAACATCCAAGAGGATGTTTGGTAATGTTGACTGAATGCCCATATGGTTGGAAAGTCAAGGGAGTCAAAGGAAAAGTAAGAGGAAAGCTTGAGATGCAAGGTAGTGAACTTACCTATTGTCATTGCTTGATGTTGTATGCTTATGTGTTGCCGTGTACATGTATTTGAATGTTATTGTGACATGTTTTAGATGCTGTAGTTGCTATTCATGATGAGTAGATTATGTCTCCATGGCCATACATTAAGAAGTTAGCTTTGAGCATGCTAATATGTCACTAATTCACAAGAGAATAAACAAGTTGCGTGTAGTGCATTAGCATCCATCTAGCATGATTAATATGGTATTGTTTGCTACTGAGATTCTCCCGAATCTCACCCCCTTCCTAACCAACCATTTAGGTCAATCAATGATGGGCAATAATGGCATGAGAAGCAAGGAGAAGAAAGTGGAGAATTGTTCATGTTAATGAATGATATTATCATTCAATGTGTAATTCTCCTACTATGTAATTTATGTTGTGGATGCCTATGATGCCATGTATTTATTTATAATGCTTGTGGCATGTATATAAATGTATGATCAGGAATGGGAAAGAGTAAGCCCATGTTATGTATGCCAAAGAAATTAAAAGAATTAAAGTAAAGAGATGTTAAGAGATAAAACGTAGGTCCTGGAGTAGTAAGTTTGTAGCTCCAGTTTGACCTATCAAACGAATGAGTTAAGTCACGAGATTTGGCAGAATTATAGTACACATCACAAGCTTTAAAATGATAGCTATATCATCTCAATTGGATGTGTACACAAGGAGATACAAATTTCCAAATTTCCAAATTTGAGGCACAGAATCTGGAAGTTTGAGATTTTATGAAATGAACAGTATTATTTATTAATTAAACTATATGAATTGGGCAAGGATAAGTCTAATTGGATATTTTTTTCCTTAAAGAGCATCAAAATAGATTTTTGTATAATTTTAGAACACCTCAATACGAATTTTATGGATTTAGTTATGAATTTTTGAAACTGGACCTATAATCTGGAAATTTAACAGTGAATAGTAACCCGAGTAGTTATGCTGAAATTTTAAATCAACGGGTTTGTGTTATGATCTGCTTGAACCATAACACTTACGAATGCGTGCTTTGAGGGGTTAAAGGTAGGACATTTCATACACCATGGATGATTCAATGTTACCATTAAGATGTTCAAGTAAGAAAAACCAAGTTCTTTATAATTTATAGAACATTTAATGATTCTCTCTTTTCACGCAATCCATCAAATGCTTTATGGGCATTCAAAAATTAAATTATAGACAAATATCTTAATTCATAAACAGCCATTCATATACTCCCAAGCGTCAATATCAATATAGTCTCTTAAGTTTACTCAATCCAATTTCTTCACAAGGCTTATTTGAGTTCTTAAATTATCATCCAACTTCATTCTAAAATATCACAAAATTTCACTGTTTCTAGCTTCATCTTTAAGCAAGATTCAAATGAAACTCCTTTGAAGACAAATGAAATTATGCTCCACCATGAAAATGCTATAATAACATATATTGAAGTAGGCCTATTTCATTTAAACATTTTATCAAATTCTTTAAGGGCATTCTGAGGCCAACACAAAGTAAATAACTTCTTTAAAATTTCCTACAAGAACATTGCTCAGTTGCTCTTTCTTATTTTCACACAACAAAAAAAAAAAAATAAAGGAATGAATGACCAAAGCTTCAAATCACCTAGCATACATCAACACAACCTAAAAAGAAGAAAGCTTCAACCATGCCACATCAGCACACTTAGATGAGCAAGGATGAAGGCTAACGCTTTTAGCACAGAACAAAGGAAGAAGGGAGACAAAAATTGAAGCAGTCATCAAGAGAGAAACTTCCACCATCTGGGCAAGGCAGTAACAGAGGAGAAGGAAAAAAATCAATACTAAACAGGGGAGAGAAAATAGTAAAATAGAACCTTGAACGGCAGACAAGACGACAGCTGTGAACACCAGCGATGACCAGGACAAACGAAGGTGAAGAACCAGAACTGAATGACAGCTGGAGTCCCTCATTTGAGAGTCTCAAAACTTCCCTCTTCTCTGCTCCCCCCTCTTGCTCCCCCTCTTCTTCAAATGGCTAGCTTGGTTTGTGGAGATTTGGACTGTGCCAAATTGAATCAAGAATGTTATCTAGAGAGTCTCATCTTGGTTATACGGTACCTACCAGATTTACCAAGCTTGATTTTCCAAAATTCAATCCCGATGATATTTTTTATTGGATTTCAAAAGTTAAGCAATTTTTTTTTTTATTGGATGAAACTTCAAAAGGGAATAAAGTGATGTTGGTTAATTTAGCTTTTAATAATGCCTCTTATAAGAGGTTTTACTATTTTGAGAAAAAGTCATCGAGGACGCTTAGGAGACATTGATTGAAGTTGTGAAGATTTGGTTTGCTCCGTTAAATGATGATCCCATTGTTCAAGTTGAAAAAAAGAAAGACTGTTAGTAGCCTTTCAATATGAGTTTGATGACTTGGTCTACAGAATAGATTTAAATGATGCTAAGAAACTTGGTAGCTATAACAGGGCTTTGAAACTTAAACTTGCTTCTAGGATGAAGACATTATGTCTTCAAGCTTTATTAGAAACGATGAGTTTAGCATAGCTGTTTGATGGGAATTTAAGCCTTATCCATGAACGTGCAAGATCAAAATCTCTACTACCATAATCCTCTCAGAAACTGGCACTGCCTCCACCAGTGAACACTAAATCTAATAGGATTTTGGAAAAATCGATGGTTCAATTTTGACAAAAACTCATTCCTCAAGAGCTCGAGGACTTCTGTGTAAAGAATTTGTGTTATTAATGTAGGGGTAAATATACTCCAAGGCGTGATTTTCCACAAAGGAAGAAAATACAAATATATCTTATAAAGGTATTTAATGATTGTGAAATAACAGCCCCGGTGATTATAGCTCTTCTAAAAAACATAGGTTGGTAAAGTTAACTTTGATAATAATCCTATTACTTTACTCAATGCTATGTTGGGTACTTCAGACTATCCAACTATAAGAATA